AAATAAAATACTATATACAGTAGAATAAAATAAAATAAGTATACAATATACAGTATACAAATACAAATGCTATATACAACTGAGTAAGAATACAACGATGACAGAAAGGATTATTGCACATGTATGGATGTGTGTGCTTGATCAGTGGGTAATCAATGGGTAATTGTGCTGCAGAGAAAATAGCTGCACTATTTAATAGCAGAGACATGTAAATACTTTGCATTACATTTTGAATCCACTACCTTAAACGAGCTTCAATTTACAGACAGAAATGTCAAAAATGTTACAACTATCCCCGGTCTCCCCTACTGCGCCGATGCGCTGAGCCGGGTTACGCCAAGTAGCGTTTTGTGAGGTGATTTTGTGATACTTCGGATTACATTTTTTATTTCTCTCCGATATCCGATCCAGTAATTTAGGTCAGTATCGGACCGATGCCGATACGTAACATCGGATCGGTCCATCTCTAGTTTCTAATAACATGATCAGACCGACTCTGTGGAAGAGTTAAAGATCTACGACATCAGTATGTGAAGTAAGTGTGACCTACACACACTTTCAGCAGCGAGCTTCCAGTACAAGTCTACGCTCAGAGGCCTGCTGTTACTGTAGGTTAGTACTTGCAGTTACTGCTCTTGCAGTACTGTACACTATACTATAACGTTGCACAAATCTGGAGTGCATATGCTGTAAATACACTACTGGACATTGTGGACGTCCACAGTCACACTTCATGCATAATGCACTTTTTATATGTACGGACGTGTGCAGGTATATGTGTGTGTATATGTATACAAATGTATATTTAGTGTGTACGTGTGTGTGTACATGTCTGTACTTATAGATACTTGCAGATATTTGTTACTTACATAGTAATAGTGATGGTAGAATAGTTACATTTACGTCTTGCATATTTCCAAAACCCTCTGTCATAGTCACATGTGTGCTACTGTTGTAAAAGTGTATTACTTATTTGGTATTTCTTTGTATTGTTCTTCTGCTATCTGTTCCTGAGCTGAGGTAACGCACAGATTTCCCCGCCGTCGGATCAATACAGTCTTATCTTAATCTTACTTCATAAGTCTGTCTTTCTGAAAGACGCTGTGCAAAGTCCTACTGTTCTGTTGTAATGTGTTGTGGGGTCTTTCCCTCACAAAGCGCCTTGAGGCCATTGTTGTGTTTGCTGCTGTATAAATACAATTGAACTGAACAGAACTTCAAATTTCATGCAATGTGTGTTTTGGCAGTTGTGGCTACAACTGCAGCTGCCTCCACCAGTGTGTGAATGTGAGAGTGAATGAATAGTGGAATTGTACAGCGCTTTGAGGGCCCCGAAAAGCGCAGTACAAATGCAATCCATTATCATTATTATTATTTGTACTATCAAACTATGAGTACTGTTAGAGAAGTACCACAGAGTCAATTACCTTGGTGTCCTTAATGATAAAAAGCTCCTCTTCACATCCAACCGTTTCAACAGAGTCACGTCAGAAATTAGTCAGATCCCTGTCACATTTAACTCACACCATCCAGTTGATGCGTTTCATTATTTTAATATTGAAGGCAAATTTAAGAGTGAAGCAGGCGTAAGAATACAAGGGAAAAAGAAGAAAACATTTAAGACAATCAGTGTTAAATCAGTTTTACATTTAGAATCATTTATTTTCTGAAACGTCTTAAAGGCCAAGTGTATATGGACACCACAGACCACAACTTAACAGGTCTGGAAAGAATCTGATATAAAATCAGTATCTTCGTATTTTTGACCAGACGTTGCACAGGATGTTGAATGATCTTTTTCTTTTTGATTCATAATTGATTCATCGCACATTTTCTTCAGAGAACATAGACGCTGATGCTATTTGGATGTTAGCGATTTCCTCCATTCAGTGATCTGGAAAACCAACTGAAAGAAAATTTATGTCAGAGAGTTTCATTACTGAACCCCAACGTCTTAGGAAACAGGATCAGTGCTGAACCACCTAAAAGCACAGTGTGTAAGGGCAGATTCACATTTCTCTCTGACTGTTACATGAGCTAAATTTTTTGTTGTTATAAATGCTCTAATTAAAGAGAAGTCTGAGGCACTTACAGTGACAGCTATAAGCCATCTCCAGGTACTTGTAGGTGCCAAAACACGGGTCTCCAAACACAGAGCTGCTCACTTTGACAGTACAGTTGCTTTTCCCGTTACAGCTGCAGATTCAGGTAAAGGTGAGTTGAAATATGTTGTGTGAGAAGACAAAAGGCTGAAGGAAGAGAGTCTGCATCTTTACCTGTCAGCTAAATTGCTTATGGGCTTTGAGCATTGGACATTTTGGAGCTGAGAGGCTGGAAGATTCAAAGAGCATGTGGTCGAGTCACGGCGCCCGTAATCAGCTCCGTGGATGAGTAAAACCTGTCCTTCACCTGAAGAAGAGCAAATGTTAACCTCATTTGTATTTTTACCGCATGAATCCAAAGACTCACAAAGAAGGAGGAACTGTGCTCTCACCGCACTGAAGGTTTGCCAGCGAATCGTCACAAGTTACACTGTGGACTGACAGAGAAATAAAGCACATTAGAGACATGCACATTCACAAATTTGAATACACTGAATATTAGTTTCTAATCACAGTTGTAATGTACTTGCTGGGAAGCAGGTGTAGGTGGTGTCCAAGTATTTGTAAATGCCGGAGCACGGATCAGAAGTACGGAAGGAGTTTGTACTTATTTCACACACCTTCTTGCCATCACACCTGCAGGGAGACAAAGAGGAGCTCTCGTCTTTTCAGGTGAGTTAAAGTGATCGATTCATCCATGATTCCTCAGACTTGTTTACCTGCTCTTGACGTCTTTCAGAGTGTCTATCTGGAAACACTGTGTATTTGCAAGCTGATCTGCAGGAATGCCATCACTGCAGATTTCTGCATCTGTCCGCCCGTACATAGCTGCCTGCACGATGATCACTCCATTATCTGTTACACAGAGAACGATGACGTTCAAACGGAGGGAATCACAAGGAATGCATAAGGTGTGCAGCACAAGAGAAACAAATAGAGGCTTTTTATGTCTTCAATAATCAGAAAATGTCCTCCTGTAGTTCTGTGGTGTTACAGGAAGTCTGAAAGGTCACATCAGTCACAAGCATAAGCTGTAGTTTCACTGAATAAAGCACAAAAAGAACCTAAACCTTAACAGGTTTTTTTGCTCCTCGGGTGAGACTGAGCTCAGTTTCTCATAAACACAGAGTCAGACTTCTATTTACAACCTGAGGAGTCGCCCCCTGCAGGACATTAGAAAGAATGCACATTACCTCAGAACTTCACTTTTGAGTGAGAGCTAGGAGCTATAAAAAACATTTTCATGTTACCACAGCTCAGGCGTTGCACATTGTCAAGGCTGTCACAGGTGATCACCCTCGCTGTGGACATGAAGGTCGGCGGGAATGGGCCCATAGGTCCACCTGGGCCCGTAGGTCCACTTTGGCCCATAGGTCCACCTGGGCCCGTAGGTCCACCTGGGCCCGTAGGTCCACCTGGGCCCGTAGGTCCACCTGGGCCCATAGGACCACCTGGGCCCGTAGGTCCACCTGGGCCCATAGGACCACCTGGGGCCAAAAAGCCTGAAATGAAAAATGTAAAAAGTCCATAATTAGTGAGTTTTGGATAAATTTGTTATGCTACAGCAGGGTCATCATAAACAAACATGAATGGATTTGAAATATAGAAAACACAGGCCAAGTGGGAAATAATCCCAGTCGACTTAATGTCACCTTCATTATATGTATTTGTATTTTGTAACACTCCTCTGAACCGGCTGAGGAAGGATTTCCTCCACATCAGTCGCTGATGGTCTGTCACCCAGCAATTTTGTGTTATTTTGTGTTGTAGCTATGCCCGTGCTTTCGTCTCCCCTCTCTGTTCCCACGTGTCTGTCCTTTCGTTCTGTCTCTCCCCAGTCTGGCATGTGTCTCATGTCTGTGTGCACACGTTGTCAAGTCCGTGTTGTCATGTCTACGTTCCATTATGCTTCCTGTTTTACTTTGAAGGGTTCGATGTTTCCATGTTCAGTTTCCCCTGTGGCGTCATGTTCATTTGTGTCAGCTGTGTCTCTCCAGGTGTTTCCACTTCCTTCATTGCCCTTCGGTCTTCTTCGGTTCAGTGTCGGATCATCTGTTTACCTTGTGTCACGTCGCATCATAGAGTTTTTCTTCAACTGCTCAGGTTCATGTTTGGTTTATTTCATGGGTGCGTTTTGCATGTCCCTGTTCAGCGTTATGTTCTGGTTTTGTATCGTTGTTGTCATAGTTTAGTTTTTCCCAGCTTAGGTTAGTCCCACCCTTGTTTCACTTTGCTTTGTTTTTCTGTCATGTCTGCTTTTGGGTCCACACCGCAAACACACCGGTCTCTCTGCCGCGACAGGTCTGACTGGTTTTCAGTCACTGAAGCCTCCTGCTGGGTGACTCATGCACAATAATGAAGTGATGCTATTCAGATAATGTAAGAATGTTGAACAGTGTCGTTCCTGGGGTCCGATATGTAACCTGACTGGCTGAGCATGATGGAAGTGAATCAGACGTAAGTTCTGGTAGGGACAACGAAGGCCAGTCCCCATAATTCCGATTATCTAAAAGTGTTCCCACCACTAGTTTAACATCAGTTTCACAGGACACTGTTCTCTGTTACTGAACTGCTTTCAGTCAGTGCTTCAATGAGTCCGAGTTTCCAGAGTTTACCTGAGGGATTTTTCCTTAGTGGTGGTGGGACTGAAAATTTATCGGAGGCTCTTGTAGTGAGTGGTGTAGTAAAATCAAATAGCACTATAGTGTACAGGCATGAAGCAAAACTGCTATGCAAATCTAGGCTATCTCTTTGAGTATGAAGGCGTGTTAGAGCCAGAAAAATATTATTGTTTATTCTGAGAGAAAAGAAGAAACTGGATAGGCCGACGTAAGGAAGGCGATGGTTACAGGCTCGTGCAGTAAAGAGGACGGATGTCGTATCACAGACACAATCAGAGCCGATCGGGTTTCACTAACTCATCTACGTGCTAGAGTAAGAGGTTAAAAGGACGTTAGCATAAAACGTATCAAACATTCAGTGATTACCTGAAGTCATGAGTACACACGTTGCTGCGAGCACTGAAACATAAAAAGAGAAGCCTGGGTGTTAGCCGGCGTGCGACCTACAGCTGATTTACTCGCTTGTCTTCTGTGTTACTGTAAGTTAACAGTGTTCCACATGGACTTTAACACATGAAATGAAAATGAATAACAAACAGGGAAAAACTGGATACACAACTTACTGGTAAAAGACAACAAAGTCATGTAAACGACACATTAAAGGAGCAACTTTTAGTGTGCAAAGCCTTTCCTGTACTCACACAGTGTGCTGCTGAGTCCGGAGCACTGCATGCTGTTAGAGCAGAGCTGATGGTGGAGCACAGGAACCTGGTCTATTTGTACTGTTTCTCTAAGAATCTATCTGCACACCAGGCAAGCAGCCAATCAGAAACCTTCCCTCATGATGTGCAACAAACTGAAACAGACAATAGAATTTGACCTTAGATAAAGCCCGCAGGGCACACAGACACACACTGAGAGAAACATATCTGATGGAAAGGTGTGTATCCTCGAGAGAAACCAGAAGATAAAAACAGACCTGCAACTTGACCTGCTTGGAAGTTTTTGGATGTATGCTCAGCTTGATGTGGGGAATGTGTCACCTTGATGGCTCCATGCAGGCACCCACCACGCTGCAGCTGCAGGTCAGTGCTGGAGGTGCAGAGCATAGTCCAGCCTCTGAGTGGTGAAGCTCTGCTGGAGGTGGGAGATGAAGACCTCACAGACCGAAGCCTCTGTCAGGTCCTCACGCCACATTTAGGTGTGCCAGCTCTGCCTATCATCATCCTCTCTTCACCCTAATGCCGACTGTAGGATAACGTTTTTAGTTTAAAATGATCATTTATTATATGTGAATGTTGCTGTTTTGCACAGTCCAGACAAGATTTGTCTTTGATGCCATGATCTGAAGGAACATCCTTTATTCAGTGATAATAAAACGGATGTTTGACACCAGGACGGAGCTTTAATGTCGTGGTCACATCAGCCAAAGCCAGACACTGGCAGGCAGGTTTATTTCCATTTCACATTACAAATACAGAGACCAATGTTGTTTTTTTTAAATAAAAAAGCAAAAACATATAATTATTTGATAGATGTTTATTTTTGTAATTTTTAAAACAGTCAGATAATCTCCATCTAATCCTGGACAGGAAAAAAACAATCACAGGTGTTTGAAACTGACTCAGCTTCACTGATTTACTGCATCATAGGAAAAGTCGTCAAAAGCACTGAAGCTACTGAGAGACCCATGAAATGGTTTTGCTGATCAACTCCCAATAACTTGTCATAAAACTGCATTTTAATCCGTTCATGTTAGATCTGCAAAAGAACAGACAACATCTCCACGTCAGATCATGTCAGTCTTTGTAGTGTGAGAACATCAACGTGATCATTTAGGCTGCTTACACTGGCAGATGTAAGCCACCTCGAGGTATTTGTATGTGCCAAAACAGGGGTCTCCAAACACCGAGTTACTCGCTCTGATGGTGCAGCTGCTCTTCCCGTCGCAGCTGGAGATGCAGAGCAATGTGAGTGAGCGCAGGCATCGATGTGCACTGAGAAACATGAAAGTAATACCTGCAGCCACAGTTTAAAGCAGTAACAGGAGGAAAACAGTACCTCTCAGCGACTTTGCTGGTGGGACGGGAGCAGTAAACATTTTGGACCTCAGAGGCCAGAAGTCTGTAGGAGCATGTGGTCTGATCGTGGCGTCCATAGTGAGCCCCGTACACGAGGATAGCCTGCCCTTCATCTGACGAGAGAAGACGAGCAGAAAACAACCCAGCAACGTTTTTTCAGTTTAATCAAATTTAAATTTGATTCAAGTCATATAAATCATTTAACACGGGTCGAATTCATGAACATAACAAAATAACACATTGACAGTAACAGATGGATCGACTTAATAAACACTAATAAGAAATTAAAATGTAAATAAAATAAAAACAAAGAACTGCAATAAAAGTAGAAAATCTTCACCTGAAAATGATCAGAGCTGAGACACAACAGAGATAATGACTCTTACCGCAGTGCAGGTGTGCAAACGAGTGCTCGCATGTGACCAGGTGACCTGTGGAAGCAGGTCAGATTAGATATGAAAGCATTGAAGAACATTGGCTCTCAGCGACATGTTGAAGCTGCTGTTTGGCAGCCTCAATGTAAATGAAGCTGGAAGTTTAGAGATTCCTTGCTTTCCACCGTCCCTTCTTAACCCTCAGGGGGAAAATATCTTGGTGTCATGTTTGTACCTCTCTTCAGTCTGACTCACAGATCAAAGCAGTTGTTACCCACTTTTCTTCAGAAAGATGAACTCTTTCTTTCTGTTAATAACCTAAACGTTTGCTGCATGAATGAAAGGATCCTGAACGTCTGCGTGCACAGAAGTGTAATCATATTTGTGAGGTACCGGATCAGAAATATTGTTGCTCACATATACGCGCCTACATGAACTTCATGTTCTCTAGCAGATGTTCCACATGCTCTGTCTCCTGCTGCTCACTTGGGTTTGTTAATCAGGGTCTTCTCATGATTCATCTGATTGGTGCGTTCTCACTCACTGGCTCCCTCCTCAGATGACATCATCTACCTCAGGAACAGTGTTCACATCCCAGCTCAAAATGTTTTCATGAGCTTTCACATTAACTTTCACATAATGTCATCAAAGCAGATTTTATGTTTTACTAAATTATAATGAAAAAGTCATTATTATCAACGTATTACTTGGTTTTGATGATTTGTTGAACATCTGCTGTGTTTAAATGTGTTGACTGACTTGACTTAGCGTTAGCATGCTCACATAAATCAGTCACAAACTCTCTGACCTTCTTTCTGAGCTCTGCTTCCTTCATAGTTTCATGGTCATGTGATACTGACTTGCAGGTAAGCAGGTGTAGCTGGTCTCCAGATATTTGTAGGTGTCGACACAAGGGTCAGGACTTTGGACGTCAGTCACGCTCAGTTCACACACTTTCTTCCCATCACACCTGAAGGATACACATACATAAAAAAGCAGTGCTGGATGTTGGTTAGTGTTTAACTGTGCTGCTTTTTCCAAAACATATTTACACATATTTCTTTACTTTCTTTGCTCATGTAGCGGCTGTAATTGAAAGATGAACAGCAAAGGCTCGGTTAGCCCATAGAGAATAATTATAGCTAGCTAATTATAGCTAGCTATAATTAGCTCAACCTCATGGACGCTCACATGTAGCTGACTGTAAGCTGCCACATTCACAACAGAAGTTTAGGATCCTTTCTCTTGTACCTCGTCCTGAGGACGTCCACGGTTCCCTGCTGAGAGCACTCAGTGTTGTTAAGCTGTTGTTGAGGTCTGCCCTCACTGCAGGTCTCTCTGTCTGCACGTCCGTACAGAGCTGCTACCACACTGATCACTCCATTTTCTGTCACATCGAGTGGATCAGAAACGAGAGCATTTCATTTAAAAGCAGCGTAAAAATCAGAGTTCACTGCGATTTTTATTCCTGCATCGTTGTCTCAAGGTGCTTTATTTTGTAAGTTAAAGACCCTACAGCAACACATCGCTGCAAGCAGCTGAGAGGTTAGAACTTGAATAACAATAATAACAATAATAATCGTAGGTATTTTATTTTGCACTACATTTTCATTAACTGTAAAAGGTTTACTAAAATAATTACTACACTGTTATTTCATTTATGAGATACATCTAAGTATATTTATTGACTGAGTTGATGATGTAGTTTATACATGATCATATATAAACTAACGAATAAATTAAATTAAAGGAAAATTACAAAACTGTTTCTAACAAATACAGTGACGAACATTAAACCTTTCATGCATGAATTATGACTACCTCAATCCGGAGTTTCTTTCTTAAGTATTTTTATTCGTCTTTGGGCAGTAAAAGATGAATAAAAACACTTATACTCATAATTCATGGATGACAGGATTAAATAACAATAATTACAATGAAACATGTCATACATCTATAGTGACACGACCTTTGGGTGGCAGGGTGTGGAGTGACACCAATGTAGTGGTTTATGTGCAAGTATACCATCAACACTGACACAAATACAAGAAAACAACCTATGAATAGCTGTAGTGACCACTGTGCATGAAAGAGTTCAAATACACTGTCAGTTACAGTCACTGTAACCCACTGTAGCAGCAGTATGGCGAGGAAGGAGCGGCTAGCAGGTCGAGCGAGCGTGTGGTGTGGGGGTTAAAAACCCGAAGCCAGTCGGTTAAATCCAATAACTTTATTCACTGTCAGCAACATTACACCTTCTGAGCCAGGTCTCCGCAGCTGTACTCGTCCATGCATACATGCGCACAGATTGGTAACGCCGGCTCCAGGCCGTCACAACGGTAAGGTTTTCCTTTTTGAATGGAACACGAGCTAACAACACACACCCACTAGGAGACTCCCACAGCTATTACAATAGTAGGGCAACCCCCCCTAGTGGTGCTATAACCCAAAAGGGTTGTTACACCCAGAGGTGGGTCCCGGGCTTGGACCGGCAAAAGTGACCCGAAATTGGCACTCTGGTGGATTTACTTTGTGTGTGTGTGTGTTTGGACGCATAGGTAGGTAGGAACGTCTCCTGCCCTGATAGCAGCCGGGGGAGGACTATCCTCCGCCTGTGAGCACTTTGGCACGGGTGAGGTGCCCACGGCAGCACCGCTGCTTGTTGAGAGTGATATGCGTTTTCATTTCATAAATAAGTCTCCAATAATACCAGAAAAAGGTGCCAGATTTGTCGCTAGTCGCTTTTTAGAAAAAAGTCGCTAAGGGGGTCAGTTTCAAACTGGTCATGTGACTGCATGGCCATATCTGATTGGTAAAAAAGTCACTGGAAACTCCACTGGTGGCATGTTATCTAATGTGTTAAACTAATTTTTTTTTTTAAGTAACGAGTCTAATTTTGCAAATGTAGCGGAGTAAAAGTACCGTTTTTCTTCACAAATGTACTCAAGTAAAAGTAAAAAGGTACTTTAAAAGTACATTTTTTTCATTATGCCAGTGGCTGTAGCTCAGGTGGCAGAGCAGGTCAGCTACTAATCAGAAGGTTGGTGGTTCGATCCCAGGCTGCCTCCTGGCTGCATGCCAAATATCCTTGGGCAAGATACTAACCCCGTGTTTGTCTACTGGTGGTGGTCAGAGGTGGCGCCAGTGTCCGGCAGCCTCGCCTCTGTCAGTGCGCCCCAGGGTGGCTGTGGCTACAATGTAGCTGCCATCACCAGTGTGTGAATGTGTGAATGACTGAATTTAGTGTAAAGCGCTTTGGGGTCCTTAGGGACTAGAAAAGCGCTATACAAATGCAGGCCATTTACCATTAAATGTAACAGAGTAAATGTAACTCGTTACTACCCACCTCTGGATACACCACACACAGATTAGCTGCTCTGTCCTGCCTACTGAGAAACAGTGTTGCCAACTCCTCAGTAAGAAAAATCACTATTGGCTGTCCTAAAAGTACTGAGAAGTTGCTACTTTTAGAAGTTGTTTTAGATAAAAAGTAGTTAAGGGCGTCGGACAACTTGCTAAATATAGCAACAAAGTCGCTAAATTGGCAACACTGCTGAGAAACCGGACACCGGATCATTTGCATACTTAAAGTGATTGGATGTTTAGCTGGGGGGCGGGTGAGTGTGTGAGCCTGCACACAAAGAGAACACAGAGGGAAAGCAAACAAGACTTAAACCCTATCATCTCATTTGTACATTTTCCAGCAGATCTTTTCAGCTACTGCAGTAAATCTTGTCCAGAATCAGTTTGTGGATAATCAGTTTTTTTTCTCAACTTCCAAAAGTTTGACTTAAGGGGGCATTGGCCCCTCTTGCCCCAGTGTAGAACAGGCCCAATTTATGTATTTGTTTAAAAAATGTCTCCAATTTAGGACGATGAACCTTCAGATGAAAAAAATGTAAAAATCAAACCAAAATATTTTTTCTCAATTCATGAATTCCAAGAGTTTCATTGGCTGAGTGAAATGTACAAGCCGATTTTTCACATCCCCGCCGAGTCGCTTTGGTTGTGCAGATGTAAACATGCATCGTACCACAGCTCAGCCTCTGGACACCGCCCATGTGACAGCTGACGGCTTTCTCCATGGAAGCATCTGAAGAACAGATATGAAAATGTGACATGAGGTGAGCTGTGTAATGATAAACTGGATCTTGCACCAGATGCTGTTTACCTGCTCCGCTGAGCAAACAGGTCGCTGCCAGCACTGAAAACAAACATCGGTGTTTTATTCATTGAGCAAGAGAAAAGATTTCAACGAAAATGATTTGATCATCTTTTTGAAAAAGCAGAACTTCTCAAACGTGCGTGGTGTATATTAATATCAAGGCTTTGATGTTTTACCTATTTTCCTGCGTCTGTAACTGAAATAAAATTATTTTCACAATAATGTTGCTTCACCCTCACATTGTTATCTACTACCAGCTTTGAACATACTTTTCTGTGAGGTATCTAAGTTACACCTTTAGTGTCACATGTGTCATAAAATCACAGCCTCATCCAAGTGTCTGTCGCCTTTCATGTTAACCACAAAATGTGCTCAGCATTTACATTCAGCTCAGAGATCGCTGCTTACAGCCTCGCAGAGCTGTCAACAAGTGATACACCTGGACTCATCCAACAGAAAACCCACATACATATAAAATAATATTCAGACGGAAACAAACATTTTAGAATTCAGTCATTAAACATAAATATAGAAAATCATTCGTGTACTCACACAGTGTGCAGCTGAGCCTTACACGGAGCATGGTGCCAGTGCTGGTGAATACTGGTACTGTTGGTACCTGACTCAAACACACCTCTATTTATTCAGTTTGATAAGGAACTTTATTTTAAACAGTAGTTTGACCCTGTTGGATCCTACCCAGACGCATTAACTGGAAACTCAATTTAAAGCAAGAATCTTTGATTAGTGGGTGCAAAAGATGATAAAACAGAACAACGTCCAGTGTGTGCTCCAAGGCTCTCCAAAGGAAGGAGACCAGAATTCATCATACACTTAAAAGTTGTTTTCAAAGAATGTCGGTGTTCATGTGAGTGAGCCTTAAACGTGCTTGTAGACGGACTTTAGGACTTTGAGGACGTGCAGGAACAGACGCTATGCCAGTAAATGTTTACTTGGCAAACCGTCACATGCGGCCGCCCGTCCCTGAGCCTGGTTCTGCCAGAGATTTCTTGTTTTTATTTCCAAACGTCTTAGAGCAGGGCTGTCAAACTCAAATACACAGTGGGCCAAAATTCAAAACTGGATCAAAGTCGCGGGCTAACATTAATATTCATTGAAAAAACATCTTCCTCCAAATATAACAAGGAATCTTTTCTTATGGACTCAAACAAGTTTTGCTGAAATCAAATAATTAATTAAATAACACATCAGTGGAATTCATTTCTTAAATAAAAAATGTATTTGCAGCCTTCTGAATTAAATTTGATCATTTATCAAATTTCCATCATATTCTCCCACCTGTCCAGAAAGCTCCTGTTTTCTGCCCTTCTTTTTTCCATTTTGGGATCGGTAGCATGGCAGGATTTGCGTGGTTGCTATGACTATGGTCAACAGAGGAGAGGGTGCTAATGGTCCTGTCATGACTGACGCGCCAAAACACCAACAGAGCATTCTGGGAATTGTAGTATTAGCAGTACATGCACTGTATGATACTGGCAGGCCAGCTCTAATAGTAATTTTGTATGGCTTTGCGGGCCAAATGTAATTAGGCTGCGGGCCAAATTTGGCCCGTGGGCCAGAGTTTGACACCTATGTCTTAGGGGGTTAGTGTTGTGAAGTTTAGGATGTGATTAGGTTAGGGGGGGAGTTGGGGGTTAGGGTTTGGTGTGTTGTGTGATGATCAGATCATGCTGGCCTACATCCCTTACATTGTTGCAGGAGAAACCTCCTGCTACACAGCATGCCAACAGCAGTCCAGGCTCCACACGGACAGAACAGGTTTATATAGACCGGTCCTGCATATATTTACGCTCTCTGTGCCTGCATTCACTTCAGCAAATGTAAAAATGTTGCAGCTTTTTAGTTTAGAAACATTTTCTTTCAAGTGCAGGTTTCCTTCAAACGCCTTCCTACAGGCAGTATGTGTGTTACGTTTCATGTTCATTTGCTTTCCTCACTATCCTCAGGCGGCACCACATTTTTGCTCTGTCTTTCTTTCTTTGATCGGTGACCTGTTGTTGGAGGCAGGCAATCTTTTATGTATTCTTGTCCTGCTACTGTCATGTTTTGGCTGTGTGCAGGCAGGAAGAGGACCCAAAGTGCAGAACTCACAACACACGGGAATAACTCAAAATGCAGCTTCATTGCTGACACACGGAAATGATACAGAACTAAAGTAAACTGGAAAATATAAACTAACCTTAACAAAGAAACACACAGCATGAGGGACGATGCGACATGGAGCAGAGGGAGACTCTGACATAAATACACAGCAGGTAATGAGGAAGTGGAAGCACACAAGGAACACAGCTGAGGACAATTACACTTGACAGCACGGGGAGGACACACAACTGCAGGAAGTGCAGTGAGACAGCCTGGAGAGAGAGAGGGAGAACATGAAGGGAAGAGGAAATCATGGAACACAAGGAGTGGGAGCAAAGCACAGTAACTCACATCACTATATAGACAGTCACGCAGTGGGAGACACAGAAGGCAACAACACAGGGAGAACATCTAATAAACAACACTGTACAGAACAACCTAGGAAACCTGGAGTCCTCAACATAATGCAAAATATGACAGAAAACACAAGGAACTTAAACCGCTGGGTCAAAATGACCCAGGACCATGACAGTTACCCTTTGTAGGCTTCAATGATAAAACAATATTGGTCATTGTAAAAGTACAATTTCAAAAAACAAAAAACAAAAGATCAGTAAATAAAATGAGGCCACTTGGCTTCAGTTCTCTGACAGAAACAAAGCAGGATAGTCGGCAAACTGTGAACAAGATGTGTGCAACACCACAAAGTGTTGTGTTCTTTTTTTGATCATTTTATTTTAGATGATCAAAATATAAAACAAAAACAAACAGGCTCAGATGCATTACAGGAAAAACAATTCATTCAAATAAACATTGTCACGGCCCAGCGGCACGAGGGAACAGAGATGGACACAGGTGCAGAAACCAACCCGGAAGTGAGACGATAAGGGAACAAAGGATTTATTTCCGCCCACAGGCAAACACAAGCAAAAAAACAAAACGACGCCACCACACTAGTGGCGCGTAGGATAATCTAAGATAACGGAGGGTGACCTAGACACCTCTAGGAGACGGCTGAACAGCAGAGGCAGCGGGGAGGTGGAAACAGGACTAGGTAGGGGCCGGGGCACTGGAATAAGAGGAGATCACGGTCAGTGGGATCCAGCAGACAATCAACGATCCTCCACAGTTGAATTGAGTTGCCTTACTTGGTTTCAGGTGGAGGGGACAGGTGGGGCGGAAGGCCCGGAAGCGGTCGAGACGTGGGGAGGCAGGCAAGTGAGTGGTGGGCCGGCAGGCCACGTCGTATCAGCAGCAAGCGGCCCAGGTCCAGGAAGGCGGGAGTGAGGGAGACAAGACCTCCACTCCAGGTGCTACCTCTGAGAACAAGAAGAACAAGTAAGTCATCACACGGATTCTGGACAGAGTTATGATGCTCCACTTGACTAACATGGGGATAGCAGATACTCAGGCGATGAATGGTTGAGAGCGCAGGTCTGATATACTGCCGGAATAATTGCTCACAGGTGGTCAGCCAGGGAGGAGCAACCGAACTCCGCCTAAGGAGGAGGGGCCGCTGTTGGAGACCTGCAGGTACCCACCCAGACCATGACAAACATGCACTTCACAAAACACCACAGGGTAGAATACCAAATGCTGGAGTCGATGAGAGTTTACAAATCTGGCCTTCGCAAATTGTTCCAAGAAGAGGTTCCACACATTCAGAGGAGAATCCTTTGAGTCTTTGCTGAACTTTTCCATTTGCATTATGGACATCATATCTGTTACCCTTAACTGAAAGGAAGGAGGAGTGGGCGACTTCCATCCCCTCAGGATTAGCCTGTTGGCGGCAATCAAACCTAATTCTAACGGCCACTGCACTGTAACCGGGAGTAGCTCTGATGTCTGAGAACATCCAAAAATTACAAGTTCAGGTTCACGCTGTAGGGCCTTCATTTATCCCTCGGAAGACCAGTCAAATATCTTAGACCAACGTCTGTTAATGAGGGACAAGACCAAAAGGCATGGAACAACGTAGCTTCTGCCAATCTGCACCTGTCACACATTGGGAAGATAAAGGATAAATCTTGTGCAGTCTGACCTTAGAATAGTGTAACCGGTGGAGGGTTTTAAATTGAATTAACTGCTGTTTATAGAGCAAGAATGGATTTTAGACAAACACTTACTCCACATACATTCAGGCACCTTCCTCCCCAACTCTTTCTCCCAAGCCTGCCTAATCCCAGCAGTATACACCACCATAGAATCACCAAGAAAGTGTACAGTTTTTACCTGGAATCAGGTTGGCTCTTGAGTATTTCATAGAGGCCATGCTCCGACAGAAGAGTTGCAAGTCTTTAAACTGTGATTGGATGTAATGCCTGACCTGCAGATATCGATAAAAATGTGGATGCGCACTCCAAAAACTAAAACTGACATTTACTTAAAATGTTTGAGGCAACACTTTTACACTTAAAAATATTGAGTAGATTGGAAACCAGTCAAATCTGTTCAATATACTTAATCAATTGAATAAATAAAGCTTAAACATATTAAGCTGAAATAAATAATTGTAGTTTTACACAAACATGAAAAAATTGAGTAACACTGACATGCTTGGTCATGTAACTGAAATATAGACGGTCAGGTAATCCAAAATGTTGTTCCATTTACTTAATATTGTAAACTGAACGCAATCAAAATTGTACTTAACATTATAAATGGCCTGTATTTGTATAGCGCTTTACTCGTCC